GTGGTGAGCAAGAGGTGCGAAGCAGGGAAGACTGCGGACATTCTCACACTTGCACAACACCACAACTCACCACTCGCCCTTCACCCCTTGCCCAACTCACCCCTTGCCCAACTGAACCCCAACTCACCGCGTGCCCTTCACCAGGGTCTTCACAACCTTGCCCTTGCAGCTCGGCGCCACAAAGAACTCGATCCTCTTGCACGCCTGCTGCCCTGCCCCAACCTTCCCCGCCTGCTGCCACACCACCTGCACCTTCTTCTTCCCGCGCCCAGTCTTGCCCGGAATGCCCACGCAGCTGCTCCTCGCAAAGCTGAAGGAACGCTCCTTAATACGCATGCTCGTGCTCACACTGTTCACTATAATGGGGGGCGCAGGGGGCGGTGGGGGTGCAAGGGGAACAGTGGGGGGCACTGGGGTGGTCCCATTGTCATGGGTGGTGCCATTGCCAGCGGTGGTGACATTGCCAGGGGGGATGAATGGCTTGGGGGTCACTGGTGGCTCGGGGGTCACTGGTGGCTCGGGGGTCACCGGTGGCTCGGGGGTCACCCGTGGCTTGGGGGTCACCGGTGGCTCGGGGGTCACCCGTGGCTCGGGGGTCACTGGTGGCTCGGGGGTCACTGGTGGCTCGGGGGTCACTAGTGGCTCGGGGGTCACCGATAGCTTGGGGGTCACTGGTGGCTTGGGGGTCACTGGTGCCTGGGTGGTCACTGGTGTCTCGCCGCCTTTGCCGCCCGACGCCTCGCTGCCCTTGCCGCCCGATGCCTCGCCGCCCTGCCACCCGACGCCTCGCCGCCCTTGCCACCCGATGCCTCGCCGCCCTTGCCGCCCGACACCTCGTCGCCCTTTGTCAAGTTATAATATTGTGTAGGCTATAGTGGGGTAGCCCATATGGGGTACACATTTCTAGGGTTGCATATTTGTATCACTTCATTCCTTAGTCAATCCATTCTCGTTCTACTTTCCTCATGGTATCGAGCAGGTTCCCCCGCGGGAACTGTGCCTAGGGCCCATCACATCGAGATTTTTTTTCCTGCCCGAAGCGCGCTCCGCCTGAGTCGCACTCCGGGCTCTCACCTCGTCGAGCCGCCCTAGCGGCCCCCTCTCCCCTAGCGTCCCCGCCACCCATTAGTGCGGCCCCGCCGCCCGTTAGTGCGGCCCCGCCGCCCGTTCGTGCGGCCCCGCCGCCCGTTAGCGTGGCCCCGCCACGCATTCGCGGCCCCGCCGCCCGCTAGCACGGCCCCGCCGCCCGCATTCGCGGCCCCGCCGCCCGCTAGCGCGGCCCCGCCGCCCGCATTCGCGGCCCCGCCGCCCTACTCCGCGGCCCCGCCGCCCTTCTACAGCGGCCCCGCCGCCCTTCTCTTGCGGCCCCGCTGCCCTACTCAGCGGCCCCGCCGCCCTAATCAGCGGCCCCGCCGCCCTACTCAGCTGCCCTGCCGCCCTTCTCCTACGACCCCGCCGCCCTACTCAGCGGCCCCGCCGCCCTTCTCCTGCGGCCCCGCCGCCCTACTCTGCGGCCCTGCCGCCCTACACAGCGGCCCCGCCGCCCTACTCCGCGGCCCTGCCGCCCTGCTCCTGCGGCCCCGCCGCCCTACTCAGCGGCCCCGCCGCCCTCCTCCTGCGGCCCCGCCGCCCTACTCAGCGGCCCCGCCGCCCTACTCCGCGGCCCCGCCGCCCTACTCAGCGGCCCCGCCGCCCTACTCCGCGGCCCTGCCGCACTGCTCCTGCGGCCCCGCCGCCCTACTCAGCGGCCCCGCCGCCCTGCTCTTGTGGCCTCACCGCCCTACTCAACGGCCCCGCCGCCCTGCTCCTGCGGCCCCGCCACCCTAATCGGCGGCCCTACCGCCCTTCTCCTGCGACCCCGCAGCTCTACCCAGCGGCGCCGCCGCCCGTCTGCTGCGGCCCCGCCGCCCTTCTCAGCAGCCCCGCCCCTCTCATCTCCTGCAGCGCCGCCCGTGCCGCCTCGCCCAGCCGAGCCGCCCACCGCCGCGCCGCCCTGCAGTAGCACAACTGCGCCGCCCAGCAGCAAAGCAGCCGAGCCGCCCTGCCGCCGAGCCGCCCTGCCGCCGAGCCGCACTGCAGGCGAGCCGCCCGGCCGCACACCAGCCGAGCCGCCGTGCAGCCGAGCCGCCCAGCAGCTGAGTCGCCCTACAGCCGAGCCGCCCGAGCAGCACTGTCCGGTGAGCACAGCCCCTTTGTCACTGCGTCCCCTTCCCCTACTGCTTGCACTGCTGGTCTACTGTTGTCATGGCTTCCCCTAGTGTCCTCGCTTTTGACGCTGAGGGTCGAGCCATTGACTTTGAGGTCTGGGTCGACGACCTGCAGCTGTTCTTATAGTGCGATAGGGCGGACGGTCTCTCTCTCTTTCACCTCACCTCTTGCGCCTCTCCTGCCCCTGCTGCTGATGCTGACCCCACTGCTCGCTCCCACTGGGCCACCCGCGATGCTGCTCCACGTCTTGCTGTGCGTCGCCACCTGCCTACCATTGAGCGCGCGCACTTTAGTCAGTACAAGAGTGCTCAGGCCTTGTACGACGCTGTAGTTGCGCGCTACTCTTCCCCTGCCACTGCTGCACTGAACCGCCTCATGCTACCGTACCTCTTTCCTGACCTTGCTGCCTTCCCCATTGTCGCTAACCTCATTACGCACCTCCGCACTAGTGACACTCGCTACCGCGCCGCGCTTCCTGCTGAGTTCTGCGCCAAGAACCCCCCCTCCATGTACATCACTCTCTATTACATAGTCACCCGCCTCCCTGACTCCCTTCGCGTAGTCAGGGACCACTTCCTTTCAGTCTGTCCCACCACTCTCACTATTGACCTCCTAGAGAAGGCCCTCCTAGCAGCGGAGAAGAGCATAGTCGCTGTAGGAGCCTCTCGTGGTGACCCTCGCACTCCCATCTTTGAGGGGTGTTCCCCTTCCCCCCTGTTGCCCTCTGTCGCCTCTGCTGCTGCGGCCGACCTACTTGGTCTTGAGTCGGTCGGTGCGGCGTCTACCCCTAGCAGGAGACGCCGCTCTGGCAAGGGCAAGGGGGGCAAGGACGCGGGTGGAGCTAGCGGGGGTGGTGGAGGTGGCGGTGGAGGCGGCGGAGGGAGTGGGGGTGGCGGTGGGAGTGGTGGTGGTGGTGGAGGTGGTGGTGGCGGCAGCAGAGGCGGAGGCGACGGCGGCGGTAGCAGTGGGAGGAGAGGCGGAGGTGGTGGCAGAGGTGGAGGCGGCAGTGGCAGAGGAGGTGGAGCTGGTCGGGGTAGTGCCTCGCAGCGGAGCGATTTTGGTGGTGGTCAGCGCCAGCAGCAGCAGCAGCGTTCTCGGGACATCCCCCCTCCTCAGTAGCTCCGTGAGTGGTACACGCAGCGTCAGCAGCCCCCTCCTCGGTCGTGCTTTGTTCCGCTCCTACAGCTGGTTCTTGGTACTTCTCCTCCTGTAGAGTGTCCACCGCCTGTCCACTCTCTGTCACAGTTACCGCCCGCCTGCCCCCTGCCTGCTCCCTCTCCTTACACTGGTCCTACTGGAGGTCTTGCTGAGCGTCGTGAGCCTGCGTCTCGTCCCGCGTCGCCTGTTCGTGCTGCTCGCGCTAGTGGTCGCGGTTCGCGTCAGCGTCCTCCTCCGGTCCCTGGCACACACCGGATGTCTCTGCGTCCGTCCATTGCTCCTCTGCGTGCCCCTTTGCCTTCTCCTCCTGAGTCCTCTCTTACTGCGCTTGCCGACCCGGAGTCGGACTCTCTTCGTGCTGCCAGTCTTACTGTCACGCGTCTCCTTGCTACTTACGTCACTGACCCCTCTTTTGACTCCACTGTTGCGTCTGCTCTTGTTGCAGAGCTCGTCGACTTTGCTGCTCGCTGTCGTCTAGACTACGCTGCTAGTCTCGTTGCTGAGTCTGCGTCTCTCTCTCCTCCGTCCGTCGGGGGTGAGTGTGCTCTTGGCACGGACGTCCTTGAGGACAGGCAGGAGGAGTTCCAGTGTCTGGCTGCTGCTTCACCTCATCTCGCGTCCGTACTGCTTGCCCCTGAGGGAGACCCGGATGCACTAGACATCCCGACTCCGCGCTCTTACGCGGAGGCCGTAGAGGGTCCCTACTCCTCTCAGTGGCAGGCAGCTATGGATGCAGAGATGGCTTCCTGGAAGTCCACAGGCACCTACGTTGACGCGGTTCCCCCTCCTGGGGCGAACATCGTCAGTGGCATGTGGATCTTCAGGGTGAAGCGGCCGCCGGGCTCTCCACCTGTCTTCAAGGCGCGGTACGTGGCTCGTGGCTTCAGTCAGCGGCAGGGAGTTGACTACTTTCAGACCTTCTCTTCCACCCCGAAGATGACCACTCTTCGGGTGCTGCTGCACATAGCCGCTCAGCGCAACTAAGAGCTTCACTCTCTTGACTTCAGCACTGCTTTCTTGCAGGGTAGCTTGCACGAGGAGATCTAGCTGCGCCGTCCACCTGGCTTCACTGGGACTTTCCCTCCTGGCACCCAGTGGAGCCTCCAACGGCCAGTCTACGGTCTCCGCCAGGCACCGCGTGAGTGGCACGGCACACTGAGGACTACGCTTGTGGCTCTTGGGTTTGCTCCCTCTACTGCTGACCCGTTGTTGTTTCTTCGCACCGACACCTCTCTGCCGCCGTTCTACATCCTCGTATACGTCGACGACTTGGTCTTTGCCACAGCTGGCACTGCTGGACTCACCTACGTGAAGTCCAAGCTGCAAAAGAGACACACGTGCACAAAGTTGGGTGACCTGCAAAGCTACCTTGGCTTGCAGATCGCCCGGGACAGAGCACGCCACACCATTACCTTGACTCAGTCACACATGGTGCAGCAGGTCCTTCAACGTTTCGGCCTCACGTACTCCTCGCCTCAGGCCACTCCTCTGTCTACTCGCCACTTGCTCTCAGCTGTGCCTTCGGATGAGTCCGTAGAGTCGAGTGGCCCGTACCCAGAGCTTGTTGGCTGCCTCATGTACCTGATGACCTGCACACGACCTGACCTTGCATACCCTCTTAGCATTTTTGCACGCTATGTTGCTCCCGGGGGACACCGACCAGAGCACGTTTCGCTGCCATTGCCGCCCGGAGCCTCGCCGCCCTTGCCGTCCGCAGCCTCACCGCCCTGGCCGCCTGCTGCCTCGCCGGCCATTCCGTTTGCTGCCTCACTACCCTCGCCGCCCGCTGCCTCGCCGCCATTGCCGCCCGCTGCCTCGCCGCCCTGGCCGCCAGCTGCCTCGCCGGCCTTGCCGCCCGACGCCTCGTGGCCCTTGCCGCCCGGCGCCTCGCCGCCATTGCCACCTGCTGCCTCACCGCCCCTCGCGCCCCCTACCTCGCTGCCCTTGCTGTATGCTGCCTCACCAACCTTGGCGCCTGCTGCATCGCCGGACTTACCGCCTGCTGCCTCACTGCCTTTTCCGCCTGCTGCCTCGCCGCCCTTGCCACCCGCTGCCTCGCCGCCCTTGCCGCCCGTTGCCTCGCTGCCCTTGCCACCCGCTGCCTTGCTGGCCTTGCCGCCTGCTGCCTCCTTAACAGCACCCCTTACTGCCTCGCTGCCCTTACCGCCTTTTGCCTCCTTGACAGCACCGCCTACTGCCTCGCTGCCCTTGCCGCCTAATGCCTCGTTGAAAGCACCGCCTACTGCCTTGCTGCCCTTGCCGCCTGATGCCTCATTGACAGCACCACCTACTACCTCGCCGCCCTTGCCGCCTAATGCCTCGTTGACAGCACCGCCTACTGCCTCGTTGCCCTTGCCGCCTGATGCCTCGTTCACAACACCGCCTACTTCCTTGCTGCCCTTGCCGCGTGATGCCTCGTTGAGAGCACTACCTACTGCCTCGCTGCCCTTGCCACATGATGCCTCGTTGATAGCACCGCCTACCGCCTCGCTGCCCTTGCCGCCTGATGCCTCGTTGACAGCACCGCCTACTGCCTCGCTGCCCTTGCCGCCTGATGCCTCGTTGACAGCACCGCCTGCTGCCTCGCTGCCCTTGCCGCCTGATGCCTCGTTGACAGCACCGCTTACTGCCTTGCTGCCGTTGCCGCCTGATGCCTCGTTAACAGCACCGCCTACTGCCTCGCTGCCCTTGCCGCCTGATGCCTCGTTGACAGCACCGCCTACTGCCTCGCTGCCCTTGTCGCCTGATGCCTCGTTAACAGCACCGTCTGCTGCCTCGCTGCCCTTGCCGCCTGATGCCTCGTTGACAGCACCGCCTACTGCCTCGCTGCCCTTGTCGCCTGATGCCTCGTTAACAGCACCGTCGGCTGCCTCGCTGCCCTTGCCGCCTGATGCCTCGTTGACAGCACCGCCTACTACCTCGCTGCCTTTGCCGCCTGATGCCTCGTTGACAGCACCGCCTACTGCCTCGCTGCCCTTGCCGCCTGATGCCTCGTTGACAGCACCGCCTACTGCCTCGCTGTCCTTGCCGCCTGATGCCTCGTTGGCAGCACCGCCTACTGCCTCGCTGCCCTTGCCACCTTATGCCTAGTTGACAACACCGCATACTGACCCGCTGCCCTTGCCGCCTGATGCCTCGTTGACAGCACCGCCTATTGCCTCCCTGCCCTTGTCGCTTGATGCCTCATTGACAGCACCGCCTACTGCCTCGCTGGCCTTGCCGCGTGATGCCTCGTTGACAGCACCGCCTACTGCCTCGCTGCCCTTGCCGCTTTATCCCTCGTCGATAGCATCGCCTACTGCCTTGCTGCCCTTTCCGCCTGATGCCTCGTTGACAGCACCGCCTACTGCCTCGCTGCCCTTGCCGCCTGATGCCTCGTTGACAGCACCGCCTACTGCCTCGCTGCCCTTGCCGCTTTATCCTTCGTTGATAGCATCGCCTACTGCCTTGCTGCCCTTTCCGCCTGATGCCTCGTTGACAGCACCGCCTACTGCCTCGCTGCCCTTGTCGCGTGATGCCTCGTTGACAGCACCGCCTACTGCCTCGCTGCCCTTTTTGCTTGATGCCTCATTTACAGCACCGCATACTGCCTCGCTGGCCTTGCCGCATGATGCCTCGTTGACAGCACCGCCTACTGCCTCGCTGCCCTTGCCGCTTTATGCCTCGTCGATAGCATCGCCTACTGCCTTGCTGCCCTTGCCGCCTGATGCCTCGTTGACAGCACCGCCTACTGCCTCGCTGCCCTTGCCGCCTGATGCCTCGTTGACAGCACCGCCTGCTGCCTCGCTGTCCTTGCCGCCTGATGCCTCGTTGACAGCACCGCTTACTGCCTTGCTGCCATTGCCGCCTGATGCCTCGTTAACAGCACCACCTACTGCCTCGCTGCCCTTGCCGCCTGATGCCTCGTTGACAGCACCGCCTACTGCCTCGCTGCCCTTGTCGCCTGATGCCTCGTTAACAGCACCGCCTGCTGCCTCGCTACCCTTGCCGCCTGATGCCTCGTTGATAGCACCGCCTACTGCCTCGCTGCCCTTGCCGCCTGATGCCTCGTTGACAGCACCGCCTACTGCCTCGCTGTCCTTGCCGCCTGATGCCTCGTTGACAGCACCGCCTACTGCCTCGCTTCCCTTGCCGCCTTATGCCTCGTTGACAACACCGCCTACTGACCCGCTGCCCTTGCCGCCTGATGCCTCGTTGACAGCACCGCCTATTGCCTCGCTGCCCTTGTCGCTTGATGCCTCATTGATAGCACCGCCTACTGCCTCGCTGGCCTTGCCGCGTGATGCCTCGTTGACAGCACCGCCTACTGCCTCGCTGCCCTTGCCGCTTTATGCCTCGTTGATAGCATCCCCTACTGCCTTGCTGCCCTTTCCGCCTGATGCCTTGTTGACAGCACCGCCTACTGCCTCGCTGCCCTTGCCGCGTGATGCCTCGTTGACAGCACCGCTTACTGCCTTGCTGCCATTGCCGCCTGATGCCTCGTTAACAGCACCGCCTACTGCCTCGCTGCCCTTGCCGCCTGATGCCTCGTTGACAGCACCGCCTACTGCCTCGCTGCCCTTGTCGCCTGATGCCTCGTTAACAGCACCGCCTGCTGCCTCGCTGCCCTTGCCGCCTGATGCCTCGTTGACAGCACCGCCTACTGCCTCGCTGCCCTTGCCGCCTGATGCCTCGTTGACAGCACCGCCTACTGCCTCGCTGCCCTTGCCGCCTGATGCCTCGTTGACAGCACCGCCTACTGCCTCGCTGCCCTTGCCGCCTTATGCCTCGTTGACAACACCGCCTACTGACTCGCTGCCCTTGCCGCCAGATGCCTCGTTGACAGCACCGCCTACTGCCTCGCTGCCCTTGCCGCCTGATGCCTCATTGACAGCACCGCCTACTGCCTCGCTGCCCTTGTTGCTTGATGCCTCATTTACAGCACCGCATACTTCCTCGCTGGCCTTGCCGCATGATGCCTCGTTGACAGCACCGCCTACTGCCTCGCTGCCCTTGCCGCTTTATGCCTCGTTGATAGCATCGCCTACTGCCTTGCTGTTCTTGCCGCCTGATGCCTCGTTGACAGCATCGCCTACTGCCTCGCTGCCCTTGCCGCCTGATGCCTCGTTGACAACACCGCCTACTACCTCGCTGCCCTTGCCGCCTGATGTTGGATGCACGTGATTCTGAGTGCATGTAATCCTAACGTCTTGCCGAGTGCTCGTGCTATTTGTGCTTGCATGATTTGCATGAGCGTATGTCATTGTGCATGGCTGTTGGATATTATCATCTCTGTGTTTTCTTCAAGTTTGAATGCTTGACAATGCAGGAGAAATTCAGAGCTTTCCAACGATACCAAGATCGCCTTATTCTGACCAAGATCGCCCAAGCTACAAGATTTCCAAGATTTGGATTTCTTATTACCTTGTGGGGTTATATCTAATTTGGGTGATTACTTGGGACATGACTATAAAGGGATCTTTGGTTGGGTGGTTAGGAAGCCAACTTTGACTTTTGAAGTTTTAGCATGGGTTGCAAATGTTGCAACACTTAGGCAAAATCCAACTAGATTGGATTTTGCATGTGACACCTGAAGGACCTCATGATGAGGGTTGCATCCTTGCTACTAGGAAGGTTCTTACCATCCTTCCTTAGCTCTTGGAGAACCCCTTCCCTCTCATGGTTCTCTTGGAGGTTCCCAACTCCAACTTCCTATGCCCTAATGTTTGTACTTCCTCCACCATTCTAGTCATGCGGTTGCTGGACGTTTTTACTTGGTTCTCACTCTGTAGACGATCTTAACGAGTGATTCAACTTGGAGATGGTAGCTAAGTCTAAGCCGCAACATCCTACTGAGCGGATTTGCGTTTAGTTGAGAATTGAGTTCGTCGTAAGCTCTCAAAGTGACGGATCCTGAACAACAAGTGGTATCAGAGCGGGAAGTCGACTTTGAGACGACGAATCGTCGTGAATTCTCAACCAATGTTTTCGAGTGAGACCATTTTCTAGTAGCTCGGCTCGAGAAATTTTGATTGGTGGTCGATGCGCATTCTAATTCGAAGTATTTAGTCCGCGACGGCGATTTTCGTAGAATCAAAATTTCTGGCAGAATTCTCTCCAAACAATTTCTCAAGTTTCCACCGTTCATAAGGCCTCAATATGGTTGGTACGAACTCCGGAGGTGCTAGTGGCGAGATGGATAGAAGTAGAGAGGCTGGAGAGCAGGGGGGAGTTGCTGGTGGAGGAGTGGGGACTCACCAACCAGCCAACCCTACGCTACCGACTTCTTCTACACCATTTCCTACTACCGTGGATCCTGTGAAAGCTTTCTCTATTGAGAAATTCATGGGGGAGGACTACGAGCACTGGAGTTTCCGCATAAGGCTGATGTATACCCAATACAAGCTATTGGATTTGGTGGAGGGGAAGGAGAAGATGCCGGAGGCCGCGGAGCTGAAAGGAGCGTGGATGAAGCGATCGTTTGACGCGTACATGCTCATGGTGCAAGCGGTTGGCGGGCGGCAACTTGACCACATCAAGGACCTCTTGGGTGATCCAGAGTGTGGCCCCAAGGCTTGGAGGAAGCTTCTGGATGTGCACTCACCGACACATGCTACCGGCATCGTGCCACTCGCGCGGCGGCTGCGCGACATCAAGTTCGTTGATGGAGAGCCGATGCAACCGGTGTTGGATGAGATGCGCGACATCTTCACGAAGCTCCAAGGAGGCGGTGTGGTGTACCCGGAGCTCGTGCAATGCGTGAAGATCGTGATACGGCTGCCGGAGTCATGGTCTGCCCTAGCGATCAACCTCAACTCCCAACAACCCCAATGGAGCGTGGATTACATTCGCGCGCGCATCCTAGAGGAGGACCTGCGGCAGCGGAGTGTGGAGCGCTCGGAGGAGGGGGCTGGCTATGGAGTTGGAGGTGGAAAAAGTGGCTTTAAGAAGAAGTGGAAGGGCAAGAATAAGGATAACCCTAAGGAGGATGGCGGCAGGGGTCAAGGGAAGGAGTGCTTCTACTGCAAGAAGCGCGGACATCGTTGGCGGAAGCGCTACCAATGACCCAAGGATTGGACCCCGCCTTAATCAAACAACCAGCGTGGTGGCACGAGGAGTGGGAGAGTCATGGGAGCTAATGGAGAGGAGAAGGATGAGGAGAAAGGCGGCAAATCTGAGGAGCGGAAGGTCGGGTTCTTCTTCTTCGTGAACGAAGGCGCAACCAACCACGCTATGGCTGCCAAGGTTCTCCTACACCCCCTCACCAATTGGGTGATTGACTCCGGAAGCTCTTGGCACATGACTCCTCGTGCGGACCTACTTGATGAGATTCAGCCCGCACCCATCTCTACAGTCACATCCGCGACGGGCGCCAAGGCCAAGGTCATGGCCATGGGATGCGCTAAGTTCATGGGAGCGGATGAAGACCTCATGGGGCTAAAGAACGTGCTGTGGGTGCCAGACTTGTGCGCGAACCTGATTTCTACCGGCCGGTTGGGAGATGCGGGTGTGAACACCGAGACGATTGGCTCGGAGCGCTATCGTGCCTACAACGATGAGCGCCTCATTTGGGACCTGCAGTGGAAGGGAAATGTCCACAAGCGGATGTGGCAGATCCCGGTCCTCCCTTCGCGAAGATCGGGCAAGGCGGCAGCGGCGGCATCTATGGAGGAGAGCGTCATCGAGGAGGAGCAGCAAGGTGTGCAAGGAGAGGAGCTGAGCGGCCTACTGCCTCGCTGCCCTTGCCGCCTGATGCCTCATTGACAGCACCGCCTACAGCCTCGCTGCCCTTGCCGCCTAATGCCTCGTTGACAGCACCGCCTACTGCCTCGCTTCCCTTGCCGCCTGATTCCTCGTTGATAGCACCGCCTTCTGCCTCGCTGCCCTTGCCGCATGATGCCTCGTTGACAGTACCGCGTACTGCCTCCCTACCCTTGCCGCCTGATGCCTCGTTGACAGCACCGCCTGCTGCCTCGCTGCCCTTGCCGCCTGATGGCTCGTTGACAGCACCGCCTACTGCATCGCTACCCTTGCCGCCTGATGCCTCGTTAACAGCACCGCCTACTGCCTCACTGCCCTTACCGCCTGATGCCTCGTTGACAGCACCGCCTACTGCCTCGCTGCCCTTGCCGCCTGATGCCTCGTTGATAGCACCGCCTACTACCTCGCGACCCTTGCCGCTTGATGCCTCGTTGAAAGCACCGCCTACTGCCTCACTGCCCTTGCCGCCTGATGCCTCGTTGACAGCACCGCCTACTGCCTCGCTGCCCTTGCCGCCTGATGCCTCGTTGACAGCACCTCCTACTGCCTCGCTGTCCTTGCCGCCTGATGCCTCATTGATAGCACCGCCTACTACCTCGCTGCCCTTTCCGTTTGATGCCTCGTTGACAGCACCGCCTACTTCCTTCTTGCCCTTGCCGCCTGATTCCTCGTTTAGAGCACCGCCTACTACCTCGCTGCCCTTCCCACCTGATGCCTCATTGACAGCACCGCCTACTACCTCGCTGCCCTTGCCGCCAGATGCCTCGTTGATAGCACCGCCTACTGCCTCGCTGCCCTTGCCGCCTGATGCCTCCTTGACACCACCGCCTAGTGCCTCGCTGCCCTTGCCGCCTGATGCCTCGTTGACAGCACCGCCTACTGCCTTGCTGCCCTTGCCGCGTGATGCCTCGTTTACAGCACCGCCTACTTCCTCGCTGCCCTTGCCGCTTGATGCCTCGTTGACATCACCGCCTACTGCCTCGCTGCCCTTGCCACCTGATGCCTCGTTGACAGCACCGCCTACTGCCTCGCTGCCCTTGCAGTCTGATGCCTGGTTGATAGTACCGTCTTCTGCCTCGCTGCCCTTGCCGCCTGATGCCTACTTAACAGCACCGCCTACTGCCTCGCTGCCTTTGCCGCCTGATGCCTCCTTGACAGCACCGGCTACTGCCTCGCTACCCTTGTCGCTTGATGCCTTGTTGACAACACCGCCTACTGCCTCGCTGCCCTTGCCACCTGATGCCTCGTTGACAGCACCGCCTACTGCCTCGTTGACAGCACCGCCTACAACCTCGCTGCCCTTGCCGCCTGATGCCTCGTTGACAGCACCGCCTACTGCCTCGCTGCCCTTGCCGCCTAATGCCTCATTGATAGCACCGCCTCATGCCTCGCTGCCCTTGCCACCTAATGCCTCCTTGACAGCACCGCCTACTGCCTCGCTGCCCTTGCCGCCTGATGCCTTGTTGACAGCACCGCCTATTGCCTCGCTGCCCTTGCCGCCTGATGCCTCGTTGACAGCACCGCCTACTGCCTCGCTGCCCTTGTTGCCTGATCCCTCGTTGACAGCACCACCTACTGCCTCGCTGCCCTTGCCGCTGTCAACGAGAGTTGTGTATTGGCCCCGTCCTCGCTTGGGCGGAGCCGACCTCGTGGTCGGGTGAGGGGAGCAGCCGACCTCTAGCAGTGGGTGAGCTGGTCGACAAGGAGGTCGACCTGCACGGGGGACCACTGCACGGGCGCCGACTTCAGGGAGGTCGACTTGGGTGTCGACCTGCGGAGGACGTCAACTTGGTGACGTCAACTTGGGGAAGCCGACTTCGGCAGTCGGCTAACGGACTGCTGGTCGACCTGCTAGTGGTCGACTGGACCTGGTGGTCGACGAAGGAGGGGCCGACGTCGACCTCGACTCAGGACGCCGAGCAGTTGGGCGTCGAGTAGCGGGGCGTCAACTTCGTGACGCCAGCTTCGGGTGGCCGACGTGGGTGGTCGGCCGACGACTGTGCTGGTCGACGAGGAGCAGGTCGACCAGGAGTGCTGGTCGACGTGGAGCTGGTCGACCAGAGGGGATGTCGACCTGGAGGAGGTCGACCGATGGTGTCGTCGACCTGGTGAGGTCGACGTGGAGGTGGTCGTCGACTTGGGAGGTCGACGGGCACGTACGAGAGCTGCTGGTCGACGTGGTTGCCTGGTCGACCAGGTTACCTGGGTGACGAAGTGCTGCGGAGGAGTGCGACGGTCGCCCAGGCGAAGTTGGCGAGCCCGACCTCGGTGGTGATATCCCGAGGTCGTCGTGGCGGATCAGAGGCAGTCGTCAGCTCGAGGTTGACGTGGTGTGTGCGCTGTGCAGGTGACAAGACTCTGCGCGCCAATCATCTGCGCACAACTGCGAAGCAGGGTGCACTGCTGTCCTGCATGAGCAACGCTGTCACGCCGTCAACCTGCGACGTTGGCACGCCGTCGACCTTGCCTTGCTAGAGCGCGGTCGACGAAGTCGTGCTGGAACGCGGTCGACCAAGCTGCGGTGGCAGTTGGCCGACCTGAATGCTTGCTCTGATGTAGTCTTGCATTGCCAACTTCATTGTACCCATTGTTCTGAACTTTTCCTAGTGAAACTCTTGCCAATTTTCCCCGTGAACTAGCAAGTAGTGTGCGTACAAGGAAAACGACTAAGGAACAGAGAACGCAGAGATCACACGAGCACACGTGCCTAGCCCGTAGCCTAGCTCCCGTTGCTGTAGTTATCTCCGCATGGTGCGGTGAGCGTGGACGGCACACGACTTACCTTTCAGTCAGGTCGACGTAGACACCACTTACCTATTTCGTAGTTGCAGGCCGGCAACTGTGTTGTAGTCACTATGGTAGGAGCCGTAGGTGACGCGGGGGTGGTGGACACCCTAGAGGCACGGTTGGAGAACGCGAGGAGGAAGCATGAGGCCAATGAGTATGGCGACTTGCCCTGGCCGGTCGTCGAGGCTGGACTCCGCTCCATGTGGGCGACGGAGCACCCGTCTCGACCTGCCTCTCCTCGTCCGCTGAACAACGAAGGCGGCGTCGACGTGGGCGTCAACGCCGATGGTGGTCAAGTCGGCAGCAGTGCTGGAGGCACGTCGAGGCAACGAGGTGTGATACACGCCGGTGAAGTCGGCGGCGTTCAGGCGCAAGGGATGCAGTCGTCGGCGGCTGGAGGCTCTTCGCGGGGTGACATCGGAGGGCGTCGAAGTGGATTGTCGCCGATGTCGGCGACCCAGGTGACGGCGGATGGGATTGCACCAAGCTACGGCTACTTCAAGTTTACGCCGGACAGGATCTCGGTCACCCCTCCGCTGGTCGGTCGACCCGACATACTCACCTGGAAGGAATCCATCGAGCCCCAGCTGGAGATGGCCGGGCTGATCGGCTTCGCCCGAGGGACCGTGGCGACGCCGGAGGAGCACCACCCCGACCTGCGTGCGGAGTTTCGCGCCGTGCAGCTGTTGACCTTCACGGTCATCTCGCGGTGCTGCTCGTCGGGCGTGCAAATCGCCTTGAAGTGGTGCCGGGAGTACCTCGACGCCGGCCACCGGGCGTGGCACTTCATTGAGTCCACGTACCAGGTCACCGACGACCTGTTCATCGCCCAGCTGGAGGGACAGCTGACACACCTGCGTATGGGCGACGAGGAGAGTGCGACCGACTACTGCAACCGGGCCAGGCGAATTCTCGCCACCATCAGGATGGCCGGCGCGCAGTACTCCACGGCGTCGTACATCACCCATGTCATGCAGGGACTGTCTAGCAGCTATAACCTGCTGAAGCGGCTGTCTATGGCGCCGAGCACGAGGGCGACGCTCAACGAGGACAACCTGACCTCGTACATCCTGCAGGACGAGGCGATGCAGGAGGCTGAGCAATCGCAGGAGCTCTTGGCGCAGGCCAACTTCGTCGCTCCGGCAAAGCAAGGAGGCCGACTAGGACAGCGCGGACAGTCTGGTGGCGGCGGGAGCGGTGGCTGGAAGTCGACCAAGGAGGTCGAGAAGAAGTCGACCAAGGACGGCGGTCGAGGAGGAGGAGGTCGACGTCGGGAGTGCTGGATCTGCCACAGCCTCGATCACCTCTCCTTCGATTGTCCCGACCGCAGTGACTCCGACGACGACGACAAGGGCGGCCGCGGGAGGTCTGGCAGCCGTCGTCCTCGTCGTGGAGGAAATCATCCGCGCAAGGAGAAACAGTCGACCAAGGCATCGACTTCGGCGAAGGACGCCGACTCCGTTGCAGGCGGCAAGGGGCGAGACGACAAAATGGCGTCGTGCTCGCTGGTCGGCGTCGTGGAGCCGACCATCTCTCTGGCGCCAGAGGCCGGAGAGGACTTCCAGGCGGTGGCGGCGGCTGTGCAGGCGAACCCGGCGGTGGTCCTGCTCGACAGCGGTTGCTCCCACCACCTGATGGGAACAAAGGAAGCCTTCGTTGACCTGCAGCCGAGTGGCTCCATCAAGCACGTGCGCGGCTTCAATGGGGCACTGCAGGACGTTCAGGGCAGTGGAACCGTCGCTCTGCGAGGAAAGGCCGGGAAGGAGGTGCTTATCCCCGACGTGTTGTACGTCCCAGGTGTGCGAGCCAACCTGCTGTCGGCCGGCCAGCTGAAGGAGCACGGAGTGAAGCTGCAGGAGGACGGAGACGGCATGCTGCTCGTCTTGGCAGCAGGGGAGGTGCTCGGGCGGGCGACGTACTCTGGGCGAGTCCTCTGCACCGACCTGCGTCCCTGCGCGACGAGGTCGACGCCGCCCACATCGGAGGTGGTGGCTTTGCGGGCGATCGTCTCGAAGACGACGTCGACGCTGGACCGTATGCATGCCCGGCTTGCACATGTCGGCATGGACACCATACGGAGCTCGACGAAGAACGAGGTCGCCATTGGGCTGGACCCCAAGTCGGCGACGGGCGCCGACTCCCCGTGTGTCTCGTGCGTCGGCGGGAAGCTGGCGCGACACACCTTCCCCGACCAAGGCTCCGACGCCGACGATGTGCTGGCCGTCGTGCACATCGACCTGTGCGGGCCATTCCGCGTGGCTGCCAAGGATGGCAGCCTGTACTTCTTGTTGCTGAAGGACCGCAAGACCCGCTATGTGTGGGTGAAGCCGGTCGCCAAGAAGTCAGATGCGTTGCAAGCCTTCGTACAGTGGCTGGCGGTGGCTGAGCGGCAGACGAAGAAGTCGGTGTTGATGCTGCGATCTAACCGGGGAGGGGAGTTCCTCGGGAAGCAGTTCACCGACTTCGTGTACGGAAAGGGGATCGTCCACGACCTGAGCTGCCCATACACCCCGCAGCAGAACGGCATGGCGGAGCGGGAGATGAGGACGGTGGTGGAGTCAGTGCGGACAATGCTGCTGCACATGGGCTTGCAGCACCACTGGTGGCACCTCGCTCTCCGGCAGGCCGTCTGGGTCCGCAACTGCCTTGAGAGGTCGGCGCTGCCGCCGGGGACGACGCCGTACCAACTGCTGACCGGGAAGAAGCCCGACTTGTCGCTGGCGCGGGTGTGGGGCTGCATGGCGCAGTTCTTAGTCACCGAGCAGCAGCGTGGTGGGAAGCTGCAGCCGAAGGCCAGGTGGGGCCTGCACCTTGGCGTGTCGGCGGCGAGCAAGGGCTGGGAGCTCCTCGACGTCGACGCCGACCGGGTGGTCACCACGTCGGATGTGGTGTTCTACGAGGAGCTGTCGCTGGCCGAGTGGAAGACGAAGTACGGGTCGGTGTCCGGCCGCTCGTCGCCCACCCCGCCCTCTGACACCTCGTCGGCGACGCTGCCACTGCTTGCCGAGGTCGGTGAGCTTGCTATTACGGACGTCGAGGACGTCCGCCCCCCTCCCCCTCCGACCCCTGCCCCTCCCCTCGTGGCCGACCTGCGTGGGCTGACCTCGGTGTCGGCCTCCGGCGATGAGGGGAGTAGTGGGACGTCGCCTTCGACCAAGTGCATCGCTAGTGGGACGTCGCCTTCGGCCAAGTGCATCGCCGGTGGCCGACGTGACGAGCGGCAGGTCGACGTGGGATTGCAGTCGACGTCGACAGGGGAGGAGCAGGTCGAGAAGCAGGTCGAGGACCAGCGGCCGACAAAGGAGCAGGCAGCAGTGACGCCGACCAAGGAGCAGTTGGCGACCGGGCAGTCGGCAGGGGAGCCGACCATAGGGGAGAAGTCGGCTGGGACGCCGGCTGAGGAGCAGCAGGACGCCGAGGGCAGCGACAACAGCAACGATGGAGGGGACGCCGAGGAGGTCCAGCCAGGACCACGGCGTTTAGGCCGACTTCGGAGACCGCCTGACTTCTTCGTCCCCGCTGCCTTCACCGCGGTGTACGACGTGGACGAAATGGCCGACGACCTGCTGTACGACGATGCCGAGGAGGATGAGGAGTTTCCGGAGCTCGACCCCGACATGCTAGCTGACCCCGAGCACCGTTGGGACATCTCGACGATGACGGTGAAGGAGGCGTTGGCGAGCTGGAAGGGCCCGGCGGTGAAGGCCGCCATGGAGGAGGAGATTCGCAGCCTCCTCAACATGGGAACGTGGGAGTTGGTCGAACGTCCGCCGGGAGTGAACGTCATGAAGAACCGGTGGGTGTTGACGACGAAGTACCACGTCGACGACACCGTCGAGCGCGAGAAGGCGAGGCTGGTTGTGAAGGGCTTCACGCAGGTGCACGGCGCCGACTACGACGAGACGTTCGCGCCGGTGGGCAGCTACGTCACGCTGAGGATCTTCCTCAGCATCGTCGCCGTCCGCAACCTCAACCTGATGCAGCTCGACATGAAGAACGCCTTCTTGCAGAGCAAGCTCGACAGGGTGCTCTACATGTCCCAGCCGGACTACTTCAACGACGGGACCGGCCAGGTGTGCAAGCTGCTGAAGAGCCTGTACGGGCTAAAGAAGTCGCCGCTGTTGTGGTACTTGGCGCTCAATGACGTGCTAGTCGGCGCCGGGTGGAAGAAGAGCCAGGTCGACGAGGCTCTCTACTTCAAGGTTGGCGATGGTGGAGTGGCCTGCTGGGTTCTGGTCTACGTCGACGACCTGCTTGCCGCCAGCAGCAGCGCCGCGATGCTGAAGAAGCTGAAGGAGCTGCTGGAAGCCGCCTTCGAGCTGCGCGAGATCTCGCCGGTGGAGAAGTACCTCGGGCTGGAGATCGTGCGCGACAGATCGGTGGGGAAGCTGTGGCTGCACCAGCTGGGCTACGCCGACAAGCTGCGTAGGCGCTTCCTCGACGAGGAGCAGACCGGGCGCACCCCGAAGACACCGGTCTCGGTCGGTGCCTACGCCGAGCTCACCTTCGATGACGAGGAGGTGCAGGAACGGCAGGAGGAGGAGTACCGGCAGAAGGTCGGCTCGCTGCAGTTCGCGGCGACGACGACGAGGCCGGACGTCGCCTTCGCCTGCAGCAAGCTGGGGAGCGGCCTCACGGTGAGGAGCGACCAGCACTGGCGCGAGGCCGACCGCTGCCTCGCCTACCTCGCCAACACACGTGACACCGCCCTGGAGTTTGGCGGTGGACCTGAGTCGCTGGAGCTGGTCGGCTACGTGGACGCCGACGACGCCGGTGACAAGCAGAACAGGACGAGCACGAG